GGGAGGAGAGGGAAAAAGAAAGAGCGATGAAAGAGGAGAAAATGAAATATTTTCGGGAAAAGCAGGTATTTTAAAAGAATTTGTGATCGAATCGGTCGCAAATATTAATTTAATATTTAAATATTTCGACCAAATCAGTCGTACATGTGAGTCAACGAAGTCAAAGGTGTCAGGCGGCAATTAATTTCACTTTGCGACAGATTCGGTCGCAATCTTTAATTTTTATTTTTTTATTTTCCGACAAAAACGGTCGAAAATATCGCAAAAAACTTTCGCGGTTTTATCCGCCAATTTTTTTGACGGATCCAGTCACAGTGTCAGTCTTAAAATTATTTTAAAAAAAAGTAAATATATGTTTTACCAAATTTTCAACCGTTTCGGTCGGAAACTCCAATTGAATTTTTCCAGTCACAAATTGGCGATCGAAAAATGGGCATTTTCTAGTAGTGAGGGAATATGCCACTATATATATTAAACGGAAAAGGGCCAAAAATAGCCTTGAACTATTTGAAATAGCTCAAAAATATCCTCCGTTTGTTTTTGGTACCAAAAATATCCCTGCCATTTATGTTTTGAATCACAAATGCCCTTAAACAGTTGGTCTTGCTATTGAAGGTGACATGGCAGTTCAACTGGTTAGATTTGCTTATATGGCCATCCACCTAAGCAATCCAGCATGGCAAAATTATTTTTTCGGAAAAAATATTTTTTCGAAATTTTTTATTAAAATACAAAATCAACACTTATTTCGATAAAAGTAAAAAAAATTCCGAAAAAATTATTTATTTCGGAAATTTTTATTAAAATATAAAATCAACACTTATTCCGAAAAAATTAAAAAATTCCGAAAAAATAACCCCCAAAGATTTATTTTTTCGGATTTTTTTTTTTGGAATAAGTGTTGATTTTGTATTTTAATAAAAAATTATGAAATAAATATTTTTTCGATTTTTTTTACTTTTTTCGGAATAAGTGTTGATTTTCTATTTTAATAAAAAATTCCAAAATAAATAACTTTTCCGAAATTGTTTTACTTTTTTCGGAATAAGTGTTGATTTTGTAGTTTAATAAAAAATTTACGAAATAAATAATGTTTCCGAATTTTGTTTACTTTTTTCGGAATAAGTGTTAATTTTGTATTTTAATAAAAAGATTCGAAAAATATTTTTCAAAAAAATAATTTTGTCATGCTGGATTGCTTAGGTGGATGGCCATGTAAGCAAATCTAACCCAGTTGGACTGTCATGTCACCTTCAATGGCAAGACTAATAGTTTAAGGGCATTTGTGGTCCAAAACATAGATAGCATGGATATTTTTGGTACCAAAAATAAATAGAGAGTATTTTTTAGCTATTTCAAATAGTTCAAGGGCATTTTTGGCCCTTTTGACCGAAGAGGGGACCCCGAAGTTGAGTGTGGGCAAGCCCAAAGTCTTCGAATCGATTTATATATATGTAATTATACAGTTTTAAAAGATAGTACATATTAAGTTAAAATACAATGAAGTATAAAATTTGCTTATTACTAAAATAATCCTTATATAAATTATACTACCAAGCATTTAACATCACCTACTACACAGAAGTATTTGCTAATAGTAATAATGACAGTTTTTACAAATAGTATTGTAGTTATAGAACTTCCTTTTTCCTTTTTGAGTCATCATTAACCTCTGCTCAACTGATACATAGAGGCCCTAGCAACTTAAATTAAAAAGGGAAAATAAGAATAAGAAAATTTTACCTCATATAACAAAAGTATACACCCTATTTATTATAAACCAAAATTATTTTAAAATATTATTTTCTATAGCTACATTTTATATTTTATAGCAAAATAGGTATTTATGGTATATACTATCATTGACGCATGAAATACGCTATTTATGTTTTTCCTCTCTCTTTCTTTCAATTAATACAAGATTCTCTCTAAGATTTTTTCTTCTTTTTCTCTCTCTTTCCTTTCTTTTTCTTCGAGCAATTCAAGCCCTAGTATTGATGGCCGACAAGAAAGAAGAATCTCTCTCTCTTCGAGCATCTCAAGATACACGCCCTAGTATTGATGGCCGACGAGACATTAGAATAGGGTAGAAGGCAGCGAGGAAACAGAAAAGAGTGAATTTTTCGAACGAAAAGGAGCAATGTGATGAACTCGTATCATAAATTTATTGTACGGATCCGACGAACTTTCTTCTCTTCTTGGCTGGAAAACACCATTTCCGACGAACTTTCTTTTCATTACTATTTAGTCACATACAATGATACAAATATATTATATTCTATACAAATTCACTAAAACACATTGTATTTTTATATAAATATATAATTTTTTGCCTGTATTTATGTATTTCGAAGATCTGTATTTTATTAATACAACTGAATACATGATATAAACATTGAAATACACTGAATGCAAATATTAAAATAGAACAGAATATAAACAGTAAATACATTTAATTTTAAAATACAGTTAATACAACCAATGAAATATATTGAATACAGCAGTAATAACATGTATTAGCAATAACTAAAATACTGTTAATACAAATACATTTGAATACACTGAATATAAAATAACGAATACAATAAATACAAACATTGAATCTAATGAATGCACCAGTAAAAAAATAATTGAAACACACTAAATACAAAAGTTAAATACAACAGTTATATACAACTGAAAAATACAATAGTTATATACAACTGAAAAATTATTCTAATTATTTCCGTTATTAGACAGCTGGACATACCTATTTTTAAGATGATTGACGTTACTGTATTCATGAATACATGGCGCGAATATATGCACGTACAACTGGACTGCCCTGATTTTAAGCATTTTTTTGCTACTGTATTCATGAATACAATAGCGTGAATATAACGAATACACTACCGTAACAAATGAATAGTAGTTATAGAAAGTAATTATGTATATAGTAGCTATATAAAGTTAATAGCCACTAACTAAACGATAATGATTTCTAAAGTTACGATAAAACACCAAGTGAGCAACATAAATTAATACGTGAATCGTGATGTAGCATGCACACCAAATCTACACCTCGTGTTTTGTAAGGAGGAAATCATGGCCACGGAAAAAAGAGAAAAGAAACAAAGATGTAATTGATTAAACCTAATCTATATTATATTAAAAAGAGGGTAGTGAAGTACAAGATTAAGCATGTATTTAGAAAATGACACTTGACACTTTTAAGACAAAATCTAAAAATATTTAAGACAAATCTAATCCATATCTAAAACTATATCTATCATATATACATTTCCAACAAATATGTAATTGTACCTTTTTATTCTGAATTAATATGCTTGATTTTTGGCATTCATTATCTTCTTAGTTAAAAGTCGGCCATTACGTTTATTAATTTTGGTTGGAATTATGGTTTGTTCAAAAAAAAATTTAAACAATAACTATCAGTTGCTAAAAATATTTGACCCAAGATATAGAGAAAATGAACTAAAGATATATACTTACAATAAAACAAGGTAGGTGACATAGAATTTTTTCCTGTAATTTGAATTTTCAAACAAACATTGTATTAAAAAAAACATGTTCCATATAATATCTTTCCAAAATTTTATTTACTGTGTTATGTGATTTCATCTAATTTAAATTAAAAGAAAAGGCTTTTTAGAATTTAAAACTATTAGTAATTGGTAGAATTAAGAGATAAGATTTTTTGTAATTCGATAGTCCAACGATACTAAGCAATGAATAAAGCAATAACGATAAATAAGGAACCAAAGGTGAGAAAATCGGTATAAAATATAAAATAATAAGAGTTATTTGAATTTGAAATCAGAAAATATTTTTGAGTTATGACGAAAAATATTATACATTTGTATAATAGCACGTAACTCAAATCTTAATAGATAAAGTCAAAAACCAAAAATATTAGGCAATGAAAAAAATCCAACGCAAAAAAGTATAATTTTAAAAGATAGTTTATTATGATAGTATAGATATTTAAAATTCAATATTTTATATTAAAGCTAAAAGAGAAGGATAATTTAATTGCTATGGCATATAATAAAAGAATACCAAATATTAAAAAAATGGTAGATTTGTAACAAATAAAGAGAACTTCAGTTTATACTTTGGACCAATTTGAAATCACAATTTAGTATTTTTTTTTTTTTTTTGGTAACTAAACAATTTTATTACCAAGTAATATTTACACATTGGTTCTCTTCATTGCTTGATCTGGACATAAGTCCCAGATTCAGCTATCTTTTCCTCTCTCGCTACTCCTATCTATTCTTAACTGTCTATATATCTATATGAACAATAGGATAGTAGTTCAGTTCTAGTAACCTTCTCTTCAAACATTGCTTCAAATTCCCTCTCCAATGTATCTCATGTGTTAACAGCCGAATGATTGTTTCAGCATTCCTCTGTGTTGCCTGAAAGACTCGTGCATTCCTCTCTTGCCATATATAATATTTGCTTCCAGCTAGAATTTCAGCATTAGAACTTCTGCCTTTACAGTGTTGTTCAGCCCATTTCAATTCTTGATCACATGTCATCGCCTGTCTATGAACCCTCTGCCATTCCAGCACTGCTGTCCAGATTTGTGTTGAAAATGGACATTTGAAGAATAGGTGATCAACAGTTTCTTCTTCTGTGC